TGTTGTCCTAAAGTTCAACAAAAGCAATATTATAATATTGCAGCGTTATTGCAACGAATTGTTGTAAGTTCGGTGCTGTATGGGATTTTTTGAGATATTATTTTATTTTTCTGTAGAAAATAATTAACAAAAAATAATTTTTTGTTAATTTCTTCTACAGGTAAACAAACATCACCAAAAACGTCATATGCATCTATTACTCAAATAATGAAAAAAATGGAGTTATATCTGTTTCTGGTAATAATCGAGTATGCAAAATGTCCCCAAATTTGCGACTAAAAACATTAATTATAACAAGAAAACTTTCGAAAATTTAATAAAAAAGTAATTCGTAATTTTTTATTTTAAGTAATAATTTATGAGATATAACTATATTTAAACTGTTACATCTCAGAAATTATTACTTAAAATAAAAATTTACAAATTACTTTTTTATTTAAATTTTCGGAATCTTTCTTGCTATAATATTTTTAATCGCGAATTTTGAGATATTCTGTATATGTTTATTAAACGTTTCACAAACATTACAAGTGGAACGTAGAGAAAGAACATTTGTGACGTTATATATATATATTTTTAACAACCGTTTTGCCAACGTTACAAATGAAACGTTGTGAATGAACTTTTCAGTGACGTCTTGTATACATTTTACAAACGTTTCACAAATGTTACAAATGGAACATTACATATGAACAGTAAATGCGTGAGGACATTTCTGGTTGTGGCAACGTTGCATTAACGACTCTGAAACGACACAGAAAAGGTCGCACAGCTTAAGTATAACGTTATTACAATGTTGCTGGAACAAAATTTTGTTTAGTGGGTTATTACATTGTTAAACGTATTATATGTTATTGCATAATTTAAGAAAAGTATAACGTAATAAAAGATTAACAAAATTTTAAACTTTATTATTCTATACTGTTTTATTTCACACCATTCACACATACACTGTCCTATGTGTGCGATCTCAGAAACCAACATGGCGGCCCCCCTCGCCGCGAATGTGCCTCACCCCTTTAGGTTATGCACCGTCCCTCTATTCCTAAGTCCGTGGCATAGACTTATACTCTTGGGGTGCGTTCCGTTTCTCGCATGATGCGCATAGACTGCATAGACAATCGTTCCGTTTCATCTAATGCGCGCATTGGTAACGCATAGAATTCCCCAGATTCCCCCCACCATTAGCGCATGAGAGCGCATCAGCTACTACAGCTCGGACATGTAGCAGTCAATGCGCGCATGCGCATTTTGACGCATTACAGCAGAAATCTTTTGATAAGTTGAGTCTTTTGAAGAACTTTAGTACCATGGTGTAATAAGAATGGTGAAACATTGCGCATAGTAATGGCGGCACGATGAGCGGAGCCAATGAAATTTAGGTCCATATACACCCCGTGCAATTTGAACACGAAGTAATACAAACTATACAAAAATACAAATAACAACAAACAATTATTTAAAAAAACAAACAAACAACTAACAAACAATTAGAATAATTGTAGTATTTGAATAAAAATTATCGCACAACCATTGTAGTTAAAATTTTTTAACTACAATTTTTTTTTTATTTATTACGGTTTATACTTTACAGCTAATTCAAACTTCAAATCAAACAAGGGGCAACCATATTGCTTTTGAACATTTGGACCCGATTCTTATTGGTCGAGACAATGGACTACTGCGCATCCATGATGTTGTTTCACCTTTCTTATTACACCATGCTTAGTACATGTTCTGTGTGAAGAACGGTAATTCGCCAACCGGCGAAAATTACAAGAAAAAAATGAATAATATCGTGGAATTCACTGTTCTTGTGGGTGACGAGGTCATAACGCTATTTCTTGACAGTGAAACTGTCGGAAGAGCGTCAACAGGTAAAAATTTAACTTTCGAGGTTATTTTACTAACTCTATTTTGTGTAAATTGAAATTAATAAATGCAAATATTTTTGTACTGATCAAAATTTCTTACGTCAGCAAATCGACGATACTTTTAAAAAAAATGCAAATACATCTGCTAAGTCGTCTGCTGAATCAGACGAAAGTCTTGATGCAAACAGTTCGAAAGATACATCAGGTTTGTTTCTTATTCCTTTTTTAAACCTTGTTTTTTAAGGTCTCCAATATTCAATAATTGCGCAATATATCACAACATTTTTAGAGAAAAATTTCACATGGCCAGATCGTGCAGTATTTTTACTTCTTGATCTGTACCGAGAGAGGGAAGAAGAATTTTCGTTGTCATTTAAGCGACACAAAGTTTTGTGGAGGGAAATTGCTGAGAAAATGAAGGAGACGAACAACAATTACAATTTAACAGGGCAGCAGTGTTCAAATAAACTATCAGGCCTGAAGCGCACGTACAGAAGTATTTGTGATCAAAATAAACGAAGCGGTAATTGTCGAAGTTCATGGGCTTTTTTTTCGGTAATTATACATTCAATAAATATATAAATACATATATTGTATATACATCTCATGGTAAAATTTCAATATGAATGTATCTTTAGTACGTTGTTTAATGGTAATAGTCCGAATTATGAAGTAAAATTATCACTAATATGGAATAATAAATCTTTCAACTCTTACCATTAACTATTATACTAATGATATTTTCATATTTAACTTCGCCATGATGTTTGTGTGTGTGAGTCACAATATTTAATCATATTTATAGTGTGATATTCTCTTCAACAAAAATAAGTTTTCTAAGTTCTCTAAAAGAAACATTTAAATATTATCACCAAAAGATACCGTAGTATAAAGTTATGAGTTGACTCAACATCTGTTATACATATGTAATAATTTAATAGATTTTTTGAGTCGATACATTATTTTATACTCTAGCAGTGTCAGCCAATAACTCATGTTTGCTAGAAACTTGGAACATCTATTATTGCTGTCGGAGAGAAAGATATTATATTATTATATATGCTGACTTTGATATAATAATAATAATTTTTGATGATAGCAAATATTTTCACACTCAAAAAATATATTTCATATCAATGGAAACTACAACTATATTGAATACCTATCAATCATTGTATTATGAGCATTTTCATGTAAGCAGTTGTAATGCTTTGGGTCGATCCTTACCGATTCCTATGATTTCCCAGCAATCAAAACAACCTAAATTGTAATAATAGAATTTTTTCTTTTAATAGGTGATGGATTCCATATTTGGGAACAAAGCATGCACAAAACCTCTTTCTGAGGCATCGAGTGATGGTCCAACTGAATCCACACAATCGACCACAAACGCTATATCGCCTGTGTCACCATCATCAAGTGATGTCCGTCAAAGCAAGTATTCTTAAAAACATGTATGAAGTGGAAGTCCATATATCGAAAGCTTATATGAACTATAAAAATAATAAATAATTTAATTCAATGTGTGTGTGCGTGCGTGCGCGCGCGCGATCAATATAAAATTTATCAGTTTTTACTATTCAATTTTTATTTTAATATTTATATTTATTTCAATTTTCGATTTTTTAAAATTTATTTATATTTATATATATAGTGATCAAAAAATTTTCATGTATTTTTTTCATTAATATTATTTTCTTAAATTAACTTGTTAGATCCAATGAAGAAAAGAAAAGTCGAAGTTATCCTAGAAAATTACATGGAAGAAATTTGTCAAGAGAGAGAGAGCAAGAAGAAAGAGCGGTTTGAAGAAAATCTACTTCACGAACAAAAAAGAGAAGCAAGATACGAAAAAGAAAGACTTGAACGTGCAAAAATGCATGAAGAGAAAATGGAAGTAGACAGGGCATTAATAGATATTTTACAAAAATTTATTAACAAGTAATAGAAATCCTATTCTATTTTTTCAATTAATATAATGGATTCATTTTTCTATTATTAGAGTACATAATACATTATACATTAATATTACATTGACTGCGTCCAACAAAGAAAGCAGCTTTGCAACTGTAAAGAATTTTACAACAGATTGGTCTTGCCCTTAATTCTTCATTGGATCGAAATGTATATAAACCAATCATATTCAAGAATTTTACAACAGTTACAAAGCTGCTTTTTCTGCTGAACACAACCTTTTTATATTACGATTTTCTTCTTTTTGAAAATAATACATATCGTTTATTAAACCCATCAATTGAACTTTGTAACTCTATTTTTTAAAATCGTTATTGAATACGTACACCTCATAACATTTTTTTTTTAAATCAATTTGTGATATATGTTAACACTTTTTCACTCATCAGAAAATAAAATTAAAAATTTTTCCTGAAATTACAAAATTTTGCATACTGAATGAGGACATACTACATTTTGAGCTATTGTTAATTAAGAGAGCTGTGAAATTAATGTTAAAAAAATGTGAAAGAGCGTTTTAATGTATATATAAGATATCATATGTGAAAAATACTTTAAAACAAATTGAAGTTATGAGGTTACATTGATGATATGTATTACATATTAATATAATTTTTACTTTCTTGAATAGGTTTATTAATATACAAATAATGATTATATCGATCGATATTATAAATATTAAACTCTCATTGGCAAAACATTCATTATTCTATTTCTTTTTTCATTCCCTAAATTTACTGCATTTTCTCGCACAACAGGATATATTTCATCATGTAAATTGATCATATCGTTACATTCATATAAGCCCATAAGCAATTCGTCATTTTGAAGTAAGCAAATGTTGTGTAATACACAACATGCAATTAAAAATTCTGGGATTTTTTTAATATCTATTAACGGCAAGCAATCTAATAATATTCTGAAACGAATTTTCAATTGCCCTATTCCCTTCTCGACGGCCATCCTTGTTGATGACAAACAATAATTATAATTTGTTTGCCGATGTGTTAGATGTCCGTTATTCCGAAACGGTACCATTAAATGCGGATGAATAGGATAGGCAGCATCTCCAATTAGATAAGAATCATTTGGAAAATATTGCTCGGTTGATTCGAGAAATTCAGCTACAGATGAGTTCCGAAAAACTCTGGCATCATGGACAGAGCCTGCCTGCCCGGCATAGCAATGTGTAAATAAACCCCGAGAATCACAAATAACTTGAAGGTTCATAGAATGAAAACCTTTTCTATTGACGTAAGAGTTTGAATCTTCAGTAGGACCTCGGATTTTTATATGAGTGCCGTCAATAGCGCCAATAACATTGGGAAAGCCACATGATTTTTGAAATCGCTCCATCACATTTAGAGCAATCTGATCTCTCGGCCATTTCACAAAACGAGGTGCGACACAATGAAGAGCGTATGTCACTCGTCGTAATGCTCGAAAAGCTGTTGCTCTTCCTACGCCAAATTTCGTAGCAATAGATCTAAAATATATAATGTATATGGGACAAAATTTCTCAAGTGTACCACGACAAAAAATTAAAGTTATCCGATTTGGGTCAAAGTTGGTAAAGTTGCAGTCCTATATGATGGTAGTTCACATACCAAAAATTTTTTCGATTCCTCAAATATTGGCCGAGATAGAGGGGGTGCAATTCTTGTGCTTTTGACGGGAGCGGATGTTTTCAATCGCGCGTAACTTTCATTCTACTGCTCTTATCAAAATAGTGACCAGAATCTTTTTTATAGATTATTTCACGGTCTTTCCGATGGTTATGGTCAATTGTATTAAAAGTAAAAATTTAACCCTTTTTTAATGAAATAAATAATTAATTCGCCGTTTTTTTTATATTCCACCCATTTTCGTGCTTCAAAATTATTTTTAAATGAAAGCTGAGGATTTTTTCTATAAGATTACCAACTTTCAAAGATGCTTTTTTTGTTGTTTCCAAGTAATCGTAAAATTAATGAATCGCTGCGCTATTTCGAGCGAGACAACTGACGCGCGCATCGTCGTATCACATCGCACAATTAACGTGCCGTGTTAGTGTTTAATTTTTACCACTAGATGGCAATTGTTCTCGCAAAAAAAAGTGACTCCTCTGTAATAGAAAGGGCATTGCATTTTGAGACTAACACTATAGTGGATCTGATATTAAGGGCCAATGTCACAAAGCTTCGATTAACTAATCGGCCTAGTAACTTTGCAGCCTTCCAACTGAAGTTGATGTCGGAGTATTAATGTGAGCTAACCTTAGAACATATAGTACTGGAAGGAGCATAGTCTCTCGAAAGTGAAGGCGAGTAGATTGACAGAGAGGAATAGATTAAGATCGTAGTTGGTAATGCGCATGACTGTAGGGAGGGAATGCGCGCGCAAGCGAATTATACACAGCTGTCAGCTGCAGTGTACATTTGATATATGAATTTAAGGTTAAAGGCTAATAAATTTCAATTAAGAAAACTGAAAATTGCGGCGATTCTTTTGATGAGTTATCAGAACATCATCATAGAGAATAACATTTTGATTTATTAGAAAGTTGCATATTTCATTTATACAAGTGATTAATTATACTAGAATTAACTTTCTTGCACTGCACTGTTGTATGTAAATATTTGGATAACTACGTCTATTTGTAGCTTGTGCTAAGCATGTTAGAATTATATGACAACAAAAACAATCCTTATGAAAATTAACTAACATTATAAATTCCGTATATTAATACTATACTCACAAATAATTAAACTTACAAGTGATATGAAGACGCCTGATTTTCTTCTTTGCAAATATAGCAATACATTGCCACAAATCACTTATAATTTTCATAGAACCAAACAGAACCAAACATAGTTCGCAAATAATTAACGTGCTTTCTAGTCTAGCATCCACGGTGGATAATCCAACGCGCACGCGTATGGAGTATGCGCATTACAATCTACGATCTTAATCTCTCCATCCTTGTCAATCTTCTCGGCTTCAACCGAATGTACAGGGACCATATGCCTATGCTCCTTCCAGTACTATATGTTCTAAGCTGAGCTCACATTAATACTCCGACATCAACTTCAGTTGGAAGGCTGCAAAGTTACTAGGCCGATTAGTTAATCGAAGCTTTGTGACATTGGACCTTAATATCAGATCCACTATAGTGTTAGTCTCAAAATGCAATGCCCTTTCTATTACAGAGGAGTCAATTTTTTTTGCGAGAACAATTGCCATCTAGTGGTAAAAATTAAACACTAACACGGCACGTTAATTGTGCGATGTGATACGACGATGCGCGCGTCAGTTGTCTCGCTCGAAGTAGCGCAGCGATTCATTAATTTTACGATTACTTGGAAACAACAAAAAAAGCATCTTTGAAAGTTGGTAATCTTATAGAAAAAATCCTCAGCTTTCATTTAAAAATAATTTTGAAGCACGAAAATGGGTGGAATATAAAAAAAACGGCGAATTAATTATTTATTTCATTAAAAAAGGGTTAAATTTTTACTTTTAATACAATTGACCATAACCATCGGAAAGACCGTGAAATAATCTATAAAAAAGATTCTGGTCACTATTTTGATAAGAGCAGTAGAATGAAAGTTACGCGCGATTGAAAACATCCGCTCCCGTCAAAAGCACAAGAATTGCACCCCCTCTATCTCGGCCAATATTTGAGGAATCGAAAAAATTTTTGGTATGTGAACTACCATCATATAGGACTGCAACTTTACCAACTTTAACCCAAATCGGATAACTTAATTTTTTGTCCTGGTACACTTGAAAAATTTTGCCCCATATATAAATTAAAATGATTTATTGATTTTTGTAACAAAATTTAACATAACTGATTGTGAGTATTTATTATATGTGAAAGTATATATTTCATATACCTGTAAGAATCAGGTGTAGCCATGAACCAAATAGCAATAAGTAATTGCTTCTCTTGCGATATCGAGTTTCTGCCACCAGAAGCAATATTAATAGCACGTAATCCTGGTCCAATCGATGCCAATACAATTTGAAATGTTTCGGGAAACATTCTAAAAGAAATTCAGCATAAAAAACAATTTTTTAATTATTTATAGCTAGCATTTTTATATAGGTTATGATAATATTATTTCGTAAAAGACTTCATCCTATTTCTTATACAGGGTGTCCCAGAATGAGTGTCAAAAATTACACGAACAGGTAGAGCGGATTAAACTGAGTCGAAAAGTCCTTTACCGTTTTGCAATTTTCGTAATAGTTAACGAGATAATAATTGGTAAAAATTACCAAATACGTGCATCCGCCCGTCCTACTACTGCCAACAGTGTACGCCCATGATAGTTCGATGACGCGCGGACTGCAGAGAGCGGGGATTGCGTGGCGAGTCACGACGTTTGGGGCGTATCATCATGGGCGTATTATCATGGGCGTACACTGTTGGCAGTAGTAGGACGGGCGGATGCACGTATTTGGTAATTTTTACCAATTATTATCTCGTTAACTATTACGAAAATTGCAAAACGGTAAAGGACTTTTCGACTCAGTTTAATCCGCTCTACCTGTTCGTGTAATTTTTGACACT